ATATATATATATATATATATATATATATAATCACTGTATATCTGCTAAATAGATGGTAAAGCAAGATTAAACCAACTCCCTCTGAATAACATTATGTTTAAAGCAAATTAAAACCAACTTCTGAACCCAGGAGAACACAAAAAATTAAAACCAACTCCTGAACACAATATATATATATATATATATATGTATGTATTGAAGTGTTAACTAAGCTGTTATTTATATTTAAGATGAACTATTAGAACAGTATAGATTGATGAATTTAGGTCAGAAAAAATTAGCTGGAAGGAGAAACATTTGGTTTTGTTCAGGTCATCTTATCTGGATTCCTATCTAAAAACACAAAAGAATAACCTAGCTAACACTTGACAGGTTTGGAAGAGATGAATGACAAAACATTCACAGGCAGAGCACCTGATATGTACATAATGATCAAAGTCATTTGATCGCACATCATTTCACGAGACCAATAGAGACAGGAATTGATAGATTGGAATCGCAAACCTTAAAAGAATCACAAATGCTAGTCATTTGCAGAGAATCAGATCTCGAACAGAAGCAGCATGGACGCCAATTAATGCCATGGGAGGAAATTTCAAGCAGCTGATAGATTCGAGAAAAACTGGTATATAATGAATTTGGAAGGAAATGTTGAAGTTGTCATTTGGCTCAGATAGAATGTGGCTCTATAAGAAACAATATCCTATAGAGTTTATGCAGGTCCCACAGGCATTGAATATGATCTGCTAAAGTCAGAAATTCATTTAAATAAGGCTCCACAATTCAATGGCAACTAGGAGAAATTCCTGAAAATCCATGACCCATTATTGTATTTGTATATAATGAATTTAGTTTTACCATCCGATGACACTAGTGGCCTGGCCAACATGGGTATAATAATATACATACATACATACATACATACATATATATATATATATATATATATATATATATTCAACAGAAATATATTGCACATAAATATGATGAGGACATTATAGTTTATAGGCTGACAATTTATAAGGCTGTGAGGACATAATATGTATGAATTTCCTAGCGTACTACAAAAGAAATTAAACAAGTAGCATTATGCTCATGCAAAATATAAATGTTAAATGCTGATACAATATATTGTTCTTTACAAATTATTATAGCTCCAGTAGTAGTGATATACAAGTGCGTGAACATGATCTGATATTCAGATCTATAGGATGACAGCACAACTCATAGGTGCTCTTAACATATTTGTATTACAACGGGTAAATATACTTTGCCTATATATGCACAACAAAATCAATATGTCTGGTTCATACAAATTTTGGACCACCCACGAAAAAGCATAGCCATAGTAACATATAAAATGTATTATGATACTTTTATTTTATTTTTTGGTGGGTAAGGGGGGGTTTAATTTAGTGGGGATGGGTCCCCTACCCGTAGTAGAATGGAATTCAAGACGGGCAACCCACCACCTTACCGCCTAGCCTTGAGCCCATTCCGAAACACATAATATAACCATAACATAACATATTGTGACACATTTAATATAACCATTCATATAAACACGTATATGATTATTATATAGTTCAAGTCTTCCAACAACATAAATAGACCACAAAAATCTAGATATGAGAAAAAGATGCTATTGTCGAAAACAAAAGAAACCACTATAATATGTAATCAGATCCAACTCTAATGAATCACCTATGTATACAAGTGAAGAGGCAACACATATGAAGCCCATTACAAATAAATAAATTGAATAAAATAACAGTAATGCAACCCATAAAGGACCTGGAGGAAGTACTGAGGAATAGCAAACTGATGGGGATGGTAAGCAAGTTCTTCATTCTTTTCTTTCAGCTTAAAAATTGGGTCCAATGTGCAAGAAAGGAATTTCAAACAGGTATGAATAAATTTCAAATTGAATACTGAAAAAGCCCCAGGAAAAAAAATTGTAATAATATATCTCGTATCCCCTTAAAACCAAGCAAGAGAGGATTGGAAAAGGCAAAAATTGAACAAAGTTCAGACTTCAGAGTAAACATGGGAGAAGCCCAGAAAAGTGTAAGAAGGATAGAACGCACAACATAGACATACGAAGCGCAGAAAAACATAACGAAAACTGACAAATAACTGTAGAGAGAGAGAGAGATGGTACTGTAACTTTTCTGGAATTACTCTTTCTATACTATTGTTTCTCTCTCTACCTCATGGCTCCATGGATGGAGAACCTGATTACTATTGAAATCGAAGAAAAAATAACCAAAAACTTTCATGGAACTAACATTCAGAACAAGCCCTGAGAAAAAGCAAGAGCAAGATCGGGAAAGTCGATACTTACTACGGTTTATAGAAAAGAGAGATACACATTTGGATTGGGGAAACAAAACCCTAAGGCGAGATGACACAGCCGTACCTTTGCGTAACCTATCCAAAAGGAGAAAGAAAACGCAAGAAAACGCCTGGCAGAGGGAGATGGGGAGTAGATCCAGTAGCAAAGCAGTGGCAAATCGAGATTTGAGAGAGAGAGAGAGAGAGAAAGAACGGAAAAGAGAGGGGGGAAGAAAGAGAAAGGGAAAGAGAGGTAGAACGAAGGGAAGAGAGAAAGGTGGTAGAGATCCCGAGAAAGAAGGGAAGTGAGAGAGAGAGAGTGAGAAAGAGGGGAAGAGAGAGAGAGAGAGAGAGAGAGAGAGAGAGAGAGAGAGAGAGAGAGAGAGAGAGAGGAGAGAGAGAGAGAGAGAGAGAGAGGGAGAGAGGGAGAACGAGAAAGAAGGGAAGAGCGAGAGAGGAGAAGGGGATCACGAGAGGCTTGCGGCGACGAGGAAATATATAGCAGGGAAAATATTTTTTCATCTTTTATTTTTAATTTTTATATATAATGAGAGTAAAGAATTAAGAATACAATGAAATCTTTTTATTTTTTTATCGCCATTTTTTAAATCTTACCACCCCTGTACCCTTTTAGCTATAATTTTTTTATTCAAACAAATATTAAAATGACTTTATTCAAACTCTTTCTCTCTTTGGAAAGCTCCATCTTTTTCTCTTTTCGCTTTTCAATGAGTTTATCTTTCTCTCTTTATAAAGCTCCTCTTTTTCTCTTTTCGCTTTTCAATGAGTTTACTGATCAAAAAATTTAGTTTGAGCTCGAACACAAAGGCACCTTTTATGCGAGAGATGGAATTTTAGAGAAAAAGTGATGGAGTTTCGATTTTAGAGAGATAAATGGAATTTCAGTTTTAGAGAGATCTAGAGTTTTGAGAGAGAGATATAGAGTTTGGATTTTAGAAAGATGAGTTTTGAGAGAGAGAATATCATTTCATAAATTATTGAGGTCAATAATAATATGGTCTAATGAATTTAGAGGGTTGAAAAATAGAAAATATGAAGTTTTTTTTATTATAAATAATATTTTTAATTCTTAAAACTGATGAGATATAAAAATTAAAAATAAAAAATAATAAAATATTTTTTTTATTTAATTTAGAGATAATGAAAAAAGGTCAAAGAGGTAAGGTACTTTATACCGGATAAGCGATTCGGTGTTTTGATAACCAAAAGAGGGTATATATTTGCCATAGCCATAGAAATGCATCTTCACGAAATGTATTTCAAGATTCTCAAACAGCATGGGGTGTAAAGGAGGGATTGATTCGGATTGACCCTGGTCCTAACCTGGCCCAACTAAGTCTTAGTTGGATCAGGACCTGATTTAGACCCAACCATGAGTTAAGTCTAAGATTAATTAGTACAAAGATTATGGGTTACATAAATGTTATATACATAAGTACTGGGTCGGGTCAAGGCAACCCTGACACGGACCTGACCCAATCAAATGGTTCTGGGTAGACATGGAGCCAAACATTGAGTATGGTATTTTAGGCCCCGACCCAAACTCAAGTTGGGTGGAGTCAACCGACCCAACCCAATTGTCACCCCTACAAACAAGTCCTAATTAGCACTTGTGGCCCACGCTTTACTTATGGTAGTCATGGATAACAACACCCCTTTTGCTTTCTTAATTATTTCTAGATAAATTTAAGTACGCACCCAAATAGGAATTTGTCTATATTTTGGGACATTTTACTACAAAGTCCAAAAAAACATAGTTTTATTTATTTATTTATTTTACCCAGCACGAAAGTTCAACTCTCAATCTAATTTTCTTTTCTCCTAATTAAAACCTAGTTCGAAGTGCTAACTTTTAGACAAAATGTTCTTTTTGTATGAAAATGGCAATTCACATGTCCACAAACTACCCTTTAACTATACAATCAGCTAATTAATTATTTTATTACTCATTATTCCATCACTAAGATCCATATGATCGAAGTAAATAAAAATTCTGAATTGAAGTGACGATATTACTGTCAGATGGAAGTCCATTTCTTCTATTTTTTTTGTTCCCAAACCTTTCTTTTAATTCTTTGCTCTTTTGCCTCTATAGGCATATAATTTGATTTATTTTATTTGATCTATTTATTCATTCAATCCACAATCACAGGACGAGTTTATATCGAAATCTATCTAATTTGGTTTGGTAGGAAGTAGAAAATAGAGTAGTTTGAATATTCAATTTCCAAACTACCTTACATGCTCCAAAATGTAGTGTGGTGGGCAATTTGAAGGTCCGACTTTTGAGCCATCCAAATACATTTTTTTATATCTTAGGTTTTCAAAAGTTATGGAATCCAACTTTAGAATTACTTACTTTTTTTTATTTTCTTTTTAGCAAGCGATTTGAAGGTCGTAACATCAACTTACTTTAGAATGTGGTTGGGGTTGGGGTGGTAGCATCACTTGTGCCCCAGCTAAGGTTTAGGTTTCCATTTTCACTTAAAGCATTAAAAAATCACTAACGATTTCAAAAAACGGGTAGAGGTTCGTCATCCCCACTAAATTACCCAAAAAAAAACTTACAAAATTCCAATTATAAAAATGTCACTTGTGCCCCAACTAAGATCTAAGCCTCCATTTTCATCTAAAGCATTCAAAAATCACTAACGATTTCAAGAAACGGGTGGAGGCTCGTCATTTTTCATATTCGTAATCTGTTTATTTAGATATGTGATTTGCATATTTTTTAGCACCAATTTCCATTTTCCAATGAGTTTTAAGGTGCAGTTTTTGAAGACCAATGCTCCATGAAGAATTTTCATCATATAAGGTTTTATATTTTATGAATTGAATAAAATAGAACTATCGGTCATCTACATGAGTGTAAGCTTTATTTTTTGATGAACATATTGTATATTGAATAATCGCATGCCAAGCCAGTTTTTAATGTACTGTAGAGTTCGCAAATACAAAAAAAATTGCTGCACTATTTGGAGACACAAAAGAGTGCCTTCACGAGATGGAATAGCAAATTGTGAGATTCATAATACAAATAGGCACAGCCTACTACGCAAATTCCACCTTATAATCTAATGACCAGGAAGGTCTCAAATGATGTCTTAAAAGCAACCGCATTAGTGGATTATGGATAAATATATTGGATTGTTTATAAAGAGATTATTTATCTTTTATACAAGAAGGTCACAACTCTTCCCACTCATTAGATATCAAATTGGATGGTTTAAGGTAAATCAAGAAGTTTGAGATTTTTTTTGAAACGTTGTATCTATTCAATGATACTCTTACAATTGTGACCTCATTGTACAAAGGATAAACGGTCTATTTGTAAACAATCCCAAAATACATAATGATCTATGTAAATTCAAGAGATAAAAGTGATTGTAACCTCATTGTACAAAGGATAAACGGTCTCTTTGTAGACAATCCCTAAATACATAATGATCCATATGGTGATCCTAATGAACATGGCTGAGGCATCGGTCGGTGATTAGGTAGGCCGATGCCTCAATGTAGCATCTCACCCTCCACTGCCACCGTCAACATGTTAAAAACAAAGGAGAAAAAAAAAAACAACATAACCATGTGTACTCTAATCGGATGGGCTAGATCATGATGAGAGGGAGTAGCTCTACATAACATCTAGTGACATGTATGCTGAGACCCGCGCATTTCATTGCAATACAACCCATTGATGGAAGCTTATCATGAAGATATAAATCATTTTATACATGCTTAATTTACATTCGAGTAGGGAAAGCATAAAATAAGACAAAAGGTCACAATCACGACTGGTCATTCGATCTAAAATTTGACGGCCAGCATTGTGTCATCAATAAAGCTCAAAGTCTATAAAAAATTAAAAATTAAACTCGATTCTGATCTTACTAACACAACCCATGTCGTCAAAATTTAAATCCAATATCTAGGGATGGTCACTAAAAGCAAATGGTCTTATACTATACAATCTGCCATTGGATTATCGTGCATTTTCGCATTTTTCCTTATCTGTTTTCCTCTCCTTTTTCTTTTTTATTTATTTCTTACTCCAAAGCCAGCAGGACATTGGGAAAAAAAAATCAAATACCGAGATGAATAAGAACCTCAGGGCCCTTTCTTGTTTTTTCTATGGATGAAGTTCCTTTCATTTGTTCACTGATGGAAAAAAAATTTATTTTAATTTTTAGTTATTTTGCTAAGGGCAAGGTTTATATAAGGCATTTACCTTTAACATGCCTTTAACAATTGCGCACCTTTATGCTCCACCAAATAGTTATTGAGTGATTTATGATGGTTCTCAAATCCACAAATTCTTAAAAGGGGGCTGGACATCATTTAAATTTTCCCATTTATAATTGCGGATTATTGATTGAAGCAGAGATTTTTCCTTTAAAAATCTATGCAGCAATCAATAAACGGTAGTTATATTAAAAGATTTACTTTGTAGATGGTTGCAGTTAAGGAGGAATTAGTGCGCTATAAGATACAAATTTATACAAGGTTGACACTATAAAATGTAGAATTAAGGTGGACCTCTAAAATTATGTGTAAAATATTGTTTTGATGTTGAAAAAACATCTAATTGATCATCTCGGCATCAAGATGCATAAATATGGAGAAACAAAAAGATTTTAAGTCCTAAAAATAGTATATCTTACAACATGTTATCTCGACCGT